GGCTTGTAGCTACCACAGGTGAGTCTGAGTTTGCAGTCTGAGTTCAGCCCAGCTGACTGCCTTCTAAAATGAAAATCAATACCTTTTGTAGAAAAAAAGAATATAGAGTTTCTACCATACATTCTAAAATATATCATTCATAATACTCAGTATATATACAAACTACTTTCTATATACACACACACACATATATGGGTGTATATGGGCTGTCCCGGTGGGTCATGCCTGTAATCCTAGCACTCTGGGAGGATGAGGCAGGCGGATTGCTCAAGGTCAGGAGTTTGAAACCAGCCTGAGCAAGAGCAAGACCCTGTCTCTATTATAAATTGAAACAAATAATGGCCAACTAATATAATATATATATATAAATTAGCCGGCATGGTGGTGCATGCCTGTAGTCCCAGCTACTCGGGGCTGAGGCAGCAGGATTGCTTGAACCCAGGAGTTTGAGGTTGCTGTGAGCTAGACTGATGCCATGGCACTCACTCTAGACTGGGCAACAAAGCGAGACTCTGTCTTCCACAACAAACAACAAACAAAAAAACCCCAAAACAAACAAAAAAAAACCCCGTATATGAAAATATGCTTATAAAGAATAAAAAGATGCCAGGCCAGTTGCAGTGGCTCATGCTTATAATTAAAACCTCAGTAGATTTTAGCTTTAGCTGGGCCCCTTGACAGATCAGGGGTCGGCTGGAGATCTGTGCCACATTCATATACACAGTTTGGTGCTCCCCATCTCTGGCTTTCTTTGTGGGGACTGTTCTCCTTTCTGGCTGCTATGGTTATCCCAAACTCTGAGCTCTGGTTCTTCAATCTAATATGACTGCAAGAGTCCTTCCAAGTTTTAGCCAGCCCAGATGGTGCTGACTGAGACTTACTCTCAGGCTAAAAGCTGTTTAAAAAAAAAAAAATCCAGGACACTTGCCAGTCTCGTTCCATCCGTCTAAGTGTCAGCCTCCTTCAGTGTTTGCTGCCTTGCAGCATCTCTTCCATACACTGAAGCCACTGCGGCCTGTATGTGATCCAGAGTTTACAGATCGGTCCAATAGGAGCTACGCAGCCATTGCTGGAAGCAGAACCTCCGTAACTTGCTAACAAACTTATTTCAAACACATCAGTTAAAGATCGATTCTCTCCAGGACACCTGGAAGAGTGTCCATTCCCATCTTCTAGGGCCTCTGACACAATAGGGGTCATTTACTCTGGCAAAGCATTAGTTTGTTGTATTGACCTCTGACCTTAAGGTCAGCAGGCAGTGGGACCATTCTTCTGTCACATATGTCAAATCCAGCAGCCAAACTTTAGGGAACCAACAAAGGGGAGTGGATTATGAGACAAGCAGACTTCTGGGCTCCTCTTCACTTGTGTTCTGCAGATCTGAGAGAGATTTTCCTGGGACTGACACCCCCGTTACCCTTTCCTGGGAAACCCAACTCATCCTGGGTGTTCTGTGTTTCCCCCGCCCAGGTTAAACAGGGCCAGTCAGACGTACTTCTTCCCCGTCCATCTGACGGATCAGCTTCTGCCCAGCGCCGTGTTCTACGCCACCGTTGGGCCTCTCGTGGTCTACTTTGCTATGCACCGTCTGATCATCAAACCCTACCTCAGGGCTCAGAAAGAGAAGTGAGTTTATGGTGTGTCATGGGAATGTCAGTAAACCCTGTGCTTCAGTTTCCTCATCTTTAAAATGCAAATAATAATAGAATCTACCCAGTAGGGTTGTTAGGAAAATTAAATTAACTGATACATGTAAAGTGCTTAGCACAGTATCTGGGCCATGCAGAGTACTCGGTGAATGTTAACTGTGTTTTCCTCATCAGTAGTAGGACCGATGTTATCCCTTCATCTGTCATTCCTACTTTCAGAAAGGACTAGAGTTGGCTTATAAAATTGTTAAGACTCTAAACCATGACCACAAGAAGTAAAAAGTTTTCCTTTTTTCTCATTCTAATCCTTTCTTTCCTGGCCCT